AACACTTGAGCGAAAGCAGAGGTGCATCCGACCCAGTGAGAAAAGTTGACGGCTTCTTCCTCTCGCGAGTTTCACAATTTCTAAACAAAATCATAACTATCACACCTAGCGAATATCATAATTATGTATAATATGTATTGGTTTTGTTTTCATTCATAGCAACTACGTAGATATAAATTGGCAATGCGAATTTGGATGACCGAAAAGCTCTCTCCTTGAGGCAAAGGAGCCCAAATACATGTTCACTCTTGCTAATAGGCACCTGCTCATGCGCAATTCAGACGGTGATACCGGCCTCCCTTCTCTCGTATACTTTTGTATTGCTAGTGTTACGGGATACCCCCATAGAGCGTCCCCTATGCATGGTCAGAGGAGGCTACCAGGCGCTGGCCTCCCGTACGCGATTCTGGGCAGGAATAAGCTATCAGAGACCGGACTTCACTCGTTTTGTGTCGATGTAGAATTAATCCAACGAGAGATTTATTTCAGCGATTTGCTATCCTATTGGATATTTTCAATTATAAGGGTTATTTCAATTATAATGGATATTTTCAATTATAATTATAATAATTATAAGGTCTCCTGAGAATTGTTGAGGAGGCCGGGCCTCTCTTGCCTCCCGTGACGAGCCGCCACTGATTCACACCATGGACTCGCCTTGCCATGGCGACGCACGCGATGTCATATAGAGCACTAGTATTAGAGCACTAGTGTTAGTGTTAGAGCACTAGTGTTGTTAGAAATTTAACTCAACCCATCTGGTCTAGAGGCTCCCTCTAGACCAGATGGGTTGAGTTAAATTTCTAACTCATTTGGCCTAGTAGCATCATCTTTTGGTAGGAGGAATAAATATACTTTGCTTGATAAGATTGGAAACGATATTTCATATTGCGTGGCAAGATTGGTCTAAATGGTGCTACGGAAGGAGAGATTTCCACATTAAATACATTAAATTTTTTTTTCCTTTAGTACTGCCAGTAAATTGCCATGCCCGATTTCCAGGGGGGGGGGGGGGGGGGGGGGGGGGGGCCCCCC